AACAAAACAGAAAATAATAACCTCAAAATCAGCACATATAAATCATTGCAAAAAAAAAAAAATTGAAATTAACCTTAATCTGTAGGAAAGTAAGAACAAGTTAAAGTAAGAATTGATACATTATTCAACTAAGAATATGATAAAATAATAACCCATCTTGATTAAAAATGAATTAAACTGGATTTATAACTATTTTTTCTAATATTATAAATCTGACTTAACCAATGAATCTAGTTTCTTGTTGATCTGGTATTTGGCCATGTCAAATTTAGAATTCAATATTATTTTATTTTATTTTATATTTTGAAAACGAAATTATTTAATTTTTAAAAAAAATCTTAAAATATACTATTTTGAATTGACCTGGTACACTAGGCTAATTTATGACCCTACTCTTGGGCCTTTTGTTTATTCCTCGTATTATAAATTGGACTTTTGTTTCTACGGGCTGTAAATGAATAAAATATGTGCGAGCCCAATAGGCAAGCGTTGTATTCGGCTTACCTTCAGCTAGCTTAGCGTACAGTAGAACAGCAAAAAAACAGAGCAAAAGCGGAGAAAGACGCAGAAAGAAAGAAAGAAGCAGACAGGGAATTGACACAGGCAACAGCAACAACAAAGGTAAAGAAACTAACTAAACCCTCTCTTAGTTTTTCCATTTCAATGTTTTTGAGTAATTTGCTTGGTTTATGTTTCGGGTTTTTTTTTTTGGTTTCCATAAAAAGATTGCTCTATTGAAGATTTGTGTTTAGAATTCAAAGCCTAAGTTTTTTAGAGAGAAAGGTGGTCCATTTTGAAAGTCTTGTTGATTTATTCTCCTCTCATTGTAATTTGTGAGAGGAGGAGTTTCAATTTCAAGTTTATGATTCGTGAGAGTGTGAAAGTTTGAAACTTTTTTGCCATTGTCGCTTGTTGACTTTTTAAGTGTACTATTTTATTTATAGTTTTATTGTTTCAAGTTTTTGAAGCAGTCTATATCGACCATTGCTGACTCCATTTTGGTGTTTTTTAGTTCAAAGCTTTTTTTTTTTTTGTACTTGGATTTGGAGGGTTTCGGTTGGTTGGAAGAAAGGTTAATTCGTATTTTGTGATGGTGGGGGGTGAATGCTCGATTTATTAGAGGATTATTGTTTTGTTTTTTGATTTCTTATTAGGTTAAGTTGGTGATATAGAGTATGAGTGGTGCTCCTGTTAAAAGATCGCATGAAGAGGGTGGTCATTCTTCTTCTTTGAAATTCTCTCCTCATGAAGATACAGTTTCGTATCCCATGCTGACATCAGGGGTTTCAAATGAGTACCATCTACCATATGAGATGGGTCCAGATGCTAGGGTGGTTAAGATTCCCAGAACTGAGTCTCGAGACGTAGATAGAAGATCACCTTTGCATTCGACGTATTGAATCCCACCATCTTCAAATGAATCACACATGGATTCTTATTTGAATGTTGCTCCTGAAAGAAGGCCTGAATCAAGGGATTCCAAGGACTGCAGAGACTACCGGATTGAAAACCGTGACCCAAGGACTGATGCAAGAGAGATGTATGGTGAGGTAAAGAGGGATTCACAAAGTGTTAAACATGAAAAGGATGTGAGGTTTGAGAGTAGAGGGGATGGCAATAAGGAAGTAAAGCATGACAAAGAAGCTCATATTGAGCCAAAGAATGACATTAAGATAGAAAAGGATGGTTTTGGTCCTGCAAGTAGTCAGGTGAATTGGAAGGAACCAAAAGAATACCACAGGGGAAAGAGATGTCTGGAATTTGCAGGTGTACATGTGGATCCTTGGCATATATCACATTTTAATTCCCAAGGCTCCGTTGAGATTGAAAGAGAAGTCGTTAGTATTGAGGAGAGGGATCATGCCATAGTTCACGAGGCTGTTGGAGAAAATAAAGTTGAATTGAAAGGTGAGGATAGATTTAAAGACAAGGATAGGAAGAGAAAAGATTTGAAGCTCCAGGAATGGGGAGACAGAGATAAGGAAAGAAGTGATCGAAGGGGAAATATGCAAGTAGGCAACAGTATTGCTGAGGGAAAAGAGTCCGTGAAGGTAGGGAGAGAAGGAGAGAGGTGGGAGTGGGAGAGGAAGGATCTGTCAAAAGACAGGGAAAGGTTAAAAGAGAGGGAGAAGGACCACATGAAAAGAGAATCAGGAACTGGAGCTGAAAAGGAGGGTTTGCACAGTGAAAAGGAATCTGTGGATGGATCTGTCAGAATTTCATAACAGGAAAATCCAGCTTTGGAGCCAAAGAAACAGAAAGATTTTGATAACTGGAAAAATGTTGATAAAGAAGCTAAAGATAAAAAGAAAGAAAGAGAAGCTGACATAGAAGTAGATAGACCTGAGAAGGGCAGCACGATGTGCAGGAAAGAATCTGATGATGGATGTGCAGATGGTGAAATTGCAACTGAAAGGGAAAGGG